CTTTTAACACGTTCTTTCCATTTTTGGTCGTAGGGTATAATGAATTTAGAAGACTAATGGTCAAAAGTTCTTAAAAATGTGTGAGAAATAAAATTAGTTGTGTGAATAGCACTATTCTAATTTTAATAGATTGTAAATTAATGACAACTTAAGCATTGTTCAATGAGTTGAATACCAAAATTTCATTTCTGAAAAGCGATAAAATTAAGTACGACTTATATATGGTTTTATTCGTATTTATATCAACCTTTTGTGATAAGAAATTTATACATACAAGTTCTTGAATAATATCAATGTAATTAGTGTAGTTTAGTAATCGGAGTCTCTCAAAATTTGACACAAAATTAAAAGAGATGAGCTTTAAAAGGGAATATTTAATTATTCTAGTTGTGGATATAAAAACCAAAAGGTCACGGTCACAACCGAATAAAATACTTACATAGATTTTTGTTTCCAAAATAATGAATTTTTAAATTGCAGAAGTTAAAATGTGTAGATTTTTTAAGGGGTGTGCTATCCACACACCCAATTTTACTTCTCACACACCCCTTAATAATTTCTGTCCGTTGATCTTCTTCAATTCATCCGATCCGACAGCCGAAAATTAAAAGGTGTGTGAGAAGTAAAATGGGGTGTGTGGATATCACACCCCTTTTTTAATTCATGTGGCGTGCCAAATTGTACATTTGAAATGTGGTGATGATTAAACTATGAATCGGCCAAATGTAATACACACACACATATATACACATATATATCTATACATATATACATATGTATATATATGCATGCTTCCTGTTCCTGTTGTGGCAGGCCCATGGAAATTTAGAATCAAGTGCCTGTGCGTGGTCAACTTTGCAGTATATGCTGGAGAAGCTAAAAAAAGGGGAGATGAAGGGATTAAATTATGACATATTTTAAATTTTGAAGGCAGCCTTAGCACATGGTTTTGTTCATTCAAAGATGATAACCGGTGGCCATGCATATTTGTGAATTAAAAATAGAGAGCTCAAGTTCAACTGCAGCATGTGTGTCTCATTAAATAATATTATTCACAAAAATAAAGCATTAAAACACACACACACACGCACAAAATCTTCGCACACGTATCGAATTGTCATCAGAAAGAAATATTGAAATGTCTACTCAGTGGCCCGAGTTAGGATTTTATTATATTTGAATTACAATTTCGATCAAAATTTTTTTTATTGCACCGGTTGTGTTGAGCCTCTAGTGGCTACTTATTAAATTTACGAATATTCGCTGAAAGCTTATGATGACATCTATCAATAGTTGATGTGTTCTTCTAGTATTTGCATCTGTCAAGGTGTGCCCAGGCTAGATCATTTTCAAGACCTGCCTCACTACCTGCCAAGACTTATATAGTGAAGCTTTACGTCAAGCATATGTTGCGCACAAGAAAAAGAAGAAGGAAGACATGGGAAAGAAGAAGAATGTTGAAGAAGGAAGAAGCAGGAATAAGTTGTAATTCAACGTTGTTCACTCTCTCCTTAGTTAGGGTCAAAGACAATTGAAGAGAGAAGAAGCAACAATAGGTTGTAATTTAACGTTGTTCACTCTCTCCTTAGTTGAGGTTAAAGATAAATTTATATATGAATTTACGTAGTGTTAAGAAGTTGTTGGAGTCATGAACAACCATTGGCCCCAAGCTAGCTCCGTTATTATGTCTACTTGCAAGAAAATTAGCTAAACTATCATTCGAGAAACACAATATTTTTTTACCCTATCATTATAAATCATTGTTCATGAAAGATGTCAAGTTATAATCTTCGTATACGTTAAAACTCCTAAAAGAGAATGAAAGAGTAGAGATATTTTAGAGGAAAACGATAAAGGCTGCAAATTATTTAAGTGGGTAGTCAATATTGGAATGTTGATGATATGCATTTGCATGTTTTTATCCTCGAAATTATATGTTTTGTGTTCATTTAAGTTGGAGTATTTGCTTGTTGCTTAGCTTAATTGTCCTCATTTTACTGTAGTGTGAAACACCAAGTTTCAACCACCATTAAAATACACCACAGAAACTATATAAATGTGACCCGTCGGCTGTCGCATGTCACGTATAACATCGGTTGTGTTATTTCGATCGTTTGACAAATGATTGCTCAACTATTTGGTCCCCATGCCAATATGCACCATGATCGAAGTAAACAAACCAAAACAGGTGGCATATTGTATGTATACTATACATATAGAAACGATACCAACCAATACCGTTTTACTAGGATCAGTGTGGCTTTAAACGGAATGAATCTTGGCTTGGAAGGAACTAGATATGATAGTTATTGTGATATATGAATGGTAAAATTCATAATTGAATAATACTTGGTTATTCAAGAATGAGTAAAAATTCATATTCAAGAATTTTTCATGTTTGAATTATAGAGCTTTGTGCTTATGATCATAATCGTTCATATTATGAATCACTTGTAAAATTCCTCTCTTCAAAAAATAAATTAAAAATAAGGTCGTTTAGTCAATTTATTGTAGCAAATACATAGACGATATGCAATGCTTTTACCAATTCCGTTCATCTATTTTTATACAATTTGATGATTAAACGACCTTAGTTTTAATTGATTTTTTTTTGGCAGAGGCGATCTTTAAAGAGTATTTACAATATGAATGGTTCCGATTATAAATATAAAGTTCTATGAATCGGTAATGAATAGTTTTGACTAGGAATACTCATTCTTTGAGTAGTCAAGTATTGTTATTCCACTATATATGTATGTGTCGTATTTACATTGTGCGAGTCAAATTTGAAACCTCTCTTAACCAGTTTGAGATTGAGTGTTAGCATGAATTCCACATTGGAGAGAGAGCAATAAGTCATGTTTGAAGAGGCTCGTATGCGGGACGTCTCGAAATAAAACTAGGACCGATAGGCTCATTTAATCGAGATTTAGAAGATGAAATTTCACCCCCACCATCAATAGATTTAGCCAATGCATTTACAACACAACCTAAAAAAGCCTCATGAACCTCTTTAACAAATAATTTTTTTTGGTAAAACATTAATTTGTTTTTTTTTTTGGTCAAGTTCAGCTGGAACAAGGGGCGATGTGCAGATTTTAACAAGGTTTAAGGAATGAAAAGAATGTTGCATTTACTAAGAGCTGGTTTGGAAAGTTATTTTAAATGATTGAAACTCATTTAGAGAAAATATTTTTAGAATCAATACTTATTAAAAATGCAAGTTAATAATAATAAAAAAAAACTGCAAGAAGCACCAATTAATCCTGTAAAAGCATTTGCATGAGCATTTCAAAGTGCTTTTGGACTCCAATTTTTTTTTTTTATAAAAATGTTTTCAATCATTTAATCTACAAGTATGTTCCATATAAGAGGGTTTTTTTTTTCCATCCAAACTATATGGGTTAATTGAGTTGTTACATTAAAATATCGAATGCACTTAAAAACAAAGAATGGTTAGATATAATATGTATATCATGTGCGTAGACGTTCAAATTACAGATCTACAACGTAAACCTCAAAATATCATTGGGAAGAAAAGGACACTAGAACGTTTTTCTTGTGCAACACATAGGGGTTCTTCATCTTGTGGTGGAGCTCACAATTTCTGTGAGTGGGGGACACGGCCCAGCTCACAGTCACGGTTTGAAAGAGACTGAAAACTTCCTTTCCTTTTCTCTGCTGGTGGAAAATTAAAACAAAGCGACCGAGAATTTAAATTTGCTAGTTGTAGAAATATTGAAGAGTAAGAGTGTCGGGATCAACAACTCCTCTACCTAGACTGTACTAAACTTAAATTTTTGTCGACGTTAAAGTGCTGCCAGCAAGCTCTATTCTACGAATGACATGGTTGAATATCTTATTTAGGTTTTTCTCAACCTGATATACTTTCCATAATTTCAAAAACACCGTGACATGTGAAATTGGAATTGAATATGATCCATATGATAGCATACTAATTACTCACGATACGAGATCTTTTATCATTAATTATTCCTTAATTCCATTGTGATACAATAATATATCAATAAAAAATAAGAAATAAATTATAATTTCAAACTCAGCACAATAGTAACATACATTTTGAATTACATTTAGAGAAATGTTAAGCATACTCTTTCATATGTAGAACTGTTCATAGACTATCTGTCACATCATATTTCTGACATAATTTTCGTAATAACATTATAAGATATTATGTGAAAAGTATAAAATGGCGGGGAATGCATGGATAGTCCGAAAATCTCCGTTGCATTTCTCTTACAATAAGCTTTACAAATTCTTAAGGATCCCGATGATTAATCGGCTTGATACGAGGAAATAATGGCTCATTTGAATGTGCTTTTAAAATGATTGAAAGCTCTTTTAGAGAAAATGTTTATGAGTTCCAAAAGCATTTCAAGTGTTTTGCCATGATTTATTAGCATTTTTACTAAAGATTGTTTCTAAAAATATTTTCACAAAAAACGTTTTCGGTTATTTTAAAAATACATTCAAATAAGCTCTAAATCGTTTTCCCAATTCATGTGGGGGAGGGGGGATTATGTACTAGTTTGATACTGATGTGCTTTTATAAAAAGTGAGTATAAAAAAAGCTGAGCTCAAAAATGTTTGGTAAACACGTAAAAACAGTTTTTTTTCACAATTTTGGATAAAAAAAGGTTGAAAACGTGAAACAGCAAAAATAAGTTTATTATCAAAGTACAACAAAAACAGTTTTTTTGCTTCCAAAGCACAGCGGTACCAAACAAGGCCTATGTCCATCTATTGTTCACGAGGTTATCCAATCAATTATCCATCTAATCACGTGTCTACTTTATGGTGCACATTTGCGCTACAACTCACTCGCACGTGGGAACCAATCTGGGGTCCCACTTCTCTCGAAAGCTTCCCGCACGTGGTTCCATTACCCGCCCAGCCGGTCACCTTAACTGGACTATAACTGTAAACCTTAATCTCAACATGCACCGGCTTCTATATAAAGTAAAGTCATCCTATTCCCATATCATCAAACTTTTAAAATTTAAACGGTCGAGATCACTTACAACTCTTCCTTCCTTGTCAAAGCAACTCCCACTCTCTCTCTCTCTTCCTTCTCTCTCTAGACCCGGGACTCCGTAATATTTTTATGTTTTTGTTTGCTGAAGGCGGAAGTTTTTGCCTTATTCTCTCTCAGTCTCAGATAGCTCGGGATTTTGGTTGAAGGATTTGTTGGTTGGTCTTTTTTTTTCTTTGTCAGGTGGACTTTTTTGTGTGCTTTTTTTTAGTGATTGTGGTGGGGCTGAGATGGAGAGAGATTTCTTGGGCTTGAACTCCAAGGAGCCGGTGGTTGTGGTGAAGGAGGAGACCAAGAACGATGGCGGCAAAGACCCAGGTCCGTGATTTTCCGTTTGATCTTTTAGTCACAGAAAGTTTTCAGCTTTTCAATTTTATAAATTTGGAATTTTTGAGCTTTTGGTATATGAATTATGTGTTATTTTCTAATTCAATTGGAGTTGAGCAATTTTTAAGTTTATATGGCTGGTTGATTAAGTTGTTAGAATTGATTAAATGGTTTAGTGGAAAGTACATAATGCTTGTTTATTATGGTTTGTCTATATATGAAGTTAGTTTACTTAACCTGCATGTGAATCCGTCTCCCCGTAGTTTAGATTAGATTAATTAGAATATTGCTCGATTAAAAAAAAACATGTGAACAATTTTATCTTTAAGATGTGATTGTTAATGGTAGTCAAAATTTCCCGGCTGAGGTGCAGTGGTAATTTATCACATCCTGTCAGTTTCTTCTGGTATTGGTTTGTCCATGGTGGGATGTTTGCATAGCAGGAAACTTTGAATGCCGATAAATGAGGACCGAAATCTATTCAAGCTTATACGTAGGAAGCTCTTGTAACTTGAACTTTTGAACAATTTGTTTATTTGTTTGTGATGTTTAGGGTTTGGAAGAGGTGGAGGTGCACATTCGTCGTTTCAAAACAAGGTCTCTGCAGTTCCTCATTTTATGTCCTTCAAAGCTGCTCAAGATGATAGGACTAAAAAGATGGTACCTGATTCATTCTTGTTTTCCGTCTCCACGGATGCATTTGGCGCTTGTAAAAAACAAACTACATATGAAGCGCAGGTATATGCTGTCCCCCGTTGTTGGTTAATTAGGATGCCGTTCTCTTGGCTTTTGCATATTTGGTCTATTTCGATTTTATTCATTATTTGGTTAATGTGTAGGATTAAATTGTCTTCTGATATTGTTGTTGCCCTTTCCCTGATTGGTTTGTGTTTTTTATTATCTAGAATTACTTCAATCACGATAGGCAAGGTGGGACTCAATTTTCCCTGACAGCTTATCATACGCAACACGATGTGCATCCTGTGCACCGTCCTCATGATGCGAAGATGATTTCAGTTACCAGTCAAGGGATTTCTGTTCCAATGAGTGACCCTTACTTGAAGAATCACTTTGCGACTACTGGTCAGAATTTTTCCACCGCCACCATGAAGCACCAAATATTTGGAGGAATTCCTGTTACGGCTCCACTTTCAGCTCTTCCCGTTGGAGGTGGTTCCATTGCTGGGATCACTGAACCGTGGTAATTTTTAATATTATGCTTGAGTCCTTGGTCGACCATTTCATAATAACAATTGTATTCTGAGGTTTGTTAAAACATTCTTTGTAGGAACAATGTTAAGAACTCTGGGTCTCCTTCGCAATTGACAATCTTTTATGCTGGTACTGTGAATGTCTATGATGATATCTCCCCTGAGAAGGTACCCTCCCTCACCCTCTAGGTCGAACACACAGAAACGTTGCCAGCGCACACATGAAAACGCGGGTTTTTCTTGTTAACCTTCTATTGGGTCATGTGAGCTCTAAAATTGTTTTGGGACATCTTTTCAGGCTCAGGCAATGATGCTTTTAGCCGGAAACAGTTGTTCTAACTCCTCTAATGCTGCACAACCCAAATCTCAAGTGCCTAGTGCGAAGTTGGCAGCGGAAGACGGTGTTCCTGTGAATCAGGCTACAAATATACATCCACCTGCTCTTTCTAGCCCCTTATCTGTCTCTTCACATACTGGCGCCCAGTCAGCAAGTGGGTCCACAAGCACTGATGAACTAATGGCAGCTAGAACTTCCAGACGTCCAACCAGTCCTGTTAACAAAATGGAGGCTCCAAAAACAGCAAATGCAGCTGGATCTGTTGCCGCAACTTCTATGATTCCTTCTGGTATCAACATTTGCCTTTTTCTTTTCTTAATTGGACAATGTTTGCAATCTAAACTGGCATCTGCTTTCCTGTACAGCTGTTCCACAGGCTCGCAAAGCATCCTTGGTTCGGTTTTTGGAGAAGCGCAAGGAAAGGTACTTTTTGTTCATTCCAACTATAATCTTTTGAGACTTATGAATTGCTCTTCTTACCTCAAAATAGAAGTGAATAATATCTGATCGGAATTGGACAGCTAATGACATCCCGAGTTCTGTCCTCGTCTGTGCAGGGTGATGAGTGCAGCACCATACAACTTCGACAAGAAATCACCAGAACACGGCACTCCAGAATCCGGCGGAGTGAGTTTTGGCCAACAAGGAGAACAACGATGATGTTCGGTGCTAAAGCAGAAGGGATAATTATTTCAAAATTTGTGTAGTATAAGTGAAATATGTGAAGCACATTGTCATTGTTGGTAGAAAATAACAGTTATCCCGGCTGTTTTAGAATTTAAGTTTAGTCTCAAAAGTGTTGTTGTAGGGTTTTGGCCCCTTATTATTTTGAATGCTAGTCGGATCCTTTTACCCGAATCCGACTGTATAATGTTGAACGGACAACTTTGTGTAATAATATTACATTTTATATACAAATTTTTATCTGCATGTTGCTTTATTATTGATGCAGGATGTTATCATATAGCGGTGTATTCAGCTTTGGTAACATTCTTCACGTATTGACATCCTTTTCGGATCTCTTTGAAAATCCGTCGAGATCCTTTAATCTTGGTCGTTAACATGGATTGTGCCCCCTGTGGTTGTGGAATATTGAAATTCGTACCGAAAAAAGAAACAGAAATGACTCTGGCTGCACAATCTGTGTTAATGATCAAAATTAAAGAATCTGACGCGATAGAGATTCGGAGAGAATCTCAATCTATCGTTCACGTTTAGAACGATGGTGTTTATAGTTGAGACAGAGAGACATTTGGGACAATAATTGGTGGACATGGGTGGGTGGGTCCACAAAATAACTTGCAATATCGGCAAAGCATTCCCGTTGGGTTGAAGCCAATCAATTGTTGCTTTTGTAGCGACGTGACGTGCCGGGGTCTGTCCGGAGTCGCTTTCTTTGCTGTTCACCAATTTAACACACCTCCACGTTTGGAAGAATTCATAAAATGATCATGACAATTCTTTTCCGATGACCCACCGGAAAATAATTTTATTTACAATTGCTGCAAGTATGATAATTACAATTGTTAATTGGAAATTACTGGAAGCCGGAAACGCGAGACTATAATTACTAAGTAAATATAGAGAAATAAGGTAGAGTTGCCGCTTAATATTTGATATTTATCATCACATGTAAGTAGTTATAAATCCAAAATTTTAACTTTTGGTGATCCTACTATGTACGATCCAAGGCGTCGCCACCATCATCGCAACTTCTCTAAATATCATCCTTTGCACATCACACGTTTATGGAACCGAAGAGGTTCCGACCACCTCTCCAGCACCACCTTCCAAGAGAATCAAGAGGTCCTCAAATGTCATTCAAAGAATCTTCTACCAACTTTCAGGTGGTCTGGGGATCACTCCGATTCTTCTATAGATCCGCCCCTATCCATAAGTGAAACACTTCAGGCTTAAAGTTCGTAAATGACGAGTTTGATACCAAATTTATTTTGTATTTGATAGGAATTCGTTTTTCTCGAAAGTTTGTCGACAGGGTTCTTATTGAAAAGAATTTGAAAGCCGCTTCTAACTACTATTCTTCCGTTTTTGTTTTTATGCGAGAAATTGTTCTAGTTCCTAAAAGATGAGATATTTACGCAAGAAGAGATCAATTGTTGGATAGAGACTAATCCGCATCGTGACATCTCGATTTAATAATACAAGAATAGTTAAAACCAATTATACGATAGTGATAAGATGATTAACTAATTAAGTTGGAATTATATTATAATATTGCTCGTATAAAAAGAGATTTATTTTCTGATAATCTACAAGAAACCCACCCAAAGCCTGCATATTTCTGTCGCTGGTTACATAATGTTACACTATACACGACTTTACATACTCCAGAGAGGAAAGTCCTCGCTGGTGTTCTATAATTATGCCAAAAAATGGTGCTATCAGCTTATGAGAGATGCTAAAAAACCCAAAAACTTACGACGAATTCTGGTTCAACTTGGGATGCGTAGCAGCGTAAATGGAAGAATTCGTGTCGGGTTTTAAGTGGGAAAGAAGGTGTTGTATGTCCGGACGCAGACTTTCCGCAGCTCTTCCACAGAGAGCTAAAACCTCTGGTCTGGGCTTGCTGTTAGCCTGCACAGGACCTCCCTGCCCTTCATAGTGGACGACGTGATGGCTGAGTAACACAACGGGTTACGCATGGTTAGCTATCGTCAGGCACTACTAAACAACAGCTATATCAAACCACAAACGGAAAATTTGTTTGTTTCAAGTACAGAAAAGCACTTACAAGAAGTCAATTATATCTGCTATTTCTAATGGCTCGACTGGGATCGGAGGCTGTACATTCTTCCCGAAGACATCTACCATCATACTTAAAATCAATGACAGAGCCTGAAACGGTTTACAAAATGATTAACCACAAACAATTGAAACTTTGTTTATACATATTACTTGGAAGAATTCAAATACGCATAAAAAATGATTAAAACCTTTGACGAAATTCTAATAAAAGCTCCCAATAAGTGAATTTCTGTACCTTACTGAAGAGGGCGTGCGCATTGGCTAGTTTAGGGAGCAAGGGACCCATTATTCGGAATGCTATTCTCAACATTGCAACTGAAGTCACCGGCCTGAGATGTTTGATGATAAGATGGGTCCCTTCTAGCCACTCTTGTGGGAGGTTACTGAAAAACGAATGGAGCAGGGCAACAATATTACCTGCAATCACAACATAGAGTTTGCTATAAACCCTTGGATCGGGAAGCTAAGCAAGGTTTACCAGTAAATAACCATTGCATATATTGTAGCATACCAATGGCGGTCGAGGTATTGTCTTGAGCAGCCCATGTTGGATCCAACAAAGCATAACCGACAGCAGAGTCTAATTCTCCCATTGACCTTTTGCCATCAGTGAGCCACCACGTTTCTTTTATTATACGTGATGCCTCTAGATAGAGTTGCACATGAAAATCAGGAGGCAGTTGAGCCAGTAGAAGACCACATGCTTGGATCAATAAGCAAGACAACTGTTGGCATGTATAACCACTTCGAGAAACAAAGTTAGATGCATTTATTCCTGACCCTGAAGCAGCTGACCTGCTCGTCGTGCCCAAGGAATCTGTGCTTCCACCCGAAGGGGATGTTGGTAAAACAGAGCCTTGCCCAACACCATTTGGAGCTCCATGCAGGCCATTGCTGGATTGAATTAATGTTGGTTGTATATTGATGACAATCTGAACCAGTGATGATACAATCTGGGATGAAGATACAGGAAGAGAGAGCAGTTCAATGACTGCTGTTTCAAGAACCAGCTGAGTATATGTGCCTGGATCCTGAATTTGAAAGAATGCTTTTTGGCCATCAGAAACATTTGCTTGCCCAGACTGCGACGTTGGAGGAGTCTTGTTAGGTGGGGCACGCATTGAATTATTTAAAGCATCATTCGCTCCAGATTTTGAGTTGTTATGCAATGGAGGAATGACATTATTCACTAGTCCCAGTAAGAGAGTTGCAAAGTAATCGGCAGGTGGGCACATGGTGGAATTTGATAAATTCATATGCACTGGGAATGACTCAGAAAATGGGATCTGAAACAAACTTGGAGTTAATAAGGTAACTGGAGGATAATAGTACTCAATAGTCAATGCTGAATACCAAAAAAATAAAAAGGAGAGCAAAGTCTTTACCTTGTTGACTTCGAGTCCATTCAATATTCGGACAATGAGCTTTCCGGGAAGATGGCCATAAAAATATGCAAGTATGTCACGAACAAATGTAAATCTTAAAGGGTGGTATTTAAGAAATGTAGAATACATGACCAGAATTCCTTCAGCTGAATCTATGGCATCATTTTCAATTAGTCTATAAATTATCAACGGAATGACTGGGAGCAAACGCCCTGCAATGTCATCGAAGAAAGTAGGATACCTGCATCACATAAAAGACCATGTAAGTGAATAATGATATGCACTAACGATTCACAAAGTTTAGCTTCTCTGCATGATTCTTATCTTAGCTTAGAAACCATACTATATAGTCCCAACATCAAACCCAAAAAAAAAAAAAAGAAGAAGAAAAAGTTCATATATAACAGATGCAACCTGTCCTTCCAGGATAGATGATTCCCAAGGGCCTTTTGCAATTCAACTCGCTTAAAGGGTCCAGAGAAAAGCCAGTGTTCAGGGGGACCTCGATTCACACAATATAGTTTCACCCTCTGTTGAAGTTCTTGCCGATCAAGTAGACTAATCTGCATCACATATTAGTACATAATTGCATCAAGAACATATCTTGAATTGTAGTACATATCCAGATCAGTTTGTTTAATAGATAAAGTGCAATTCTCACATTAACCTTGTTCTTTTTAATTAGTTCATATATGCAAACAAGATTAGAAATTCTAAATAAAAAATAAAATAAAAAGTTGAAAGCATGTACCACGATATGCAAAGCATGGGGGTCATCGTCACGATCAATAAGTGCCAGGAGCAAAATATCCAAAGGGAGCAACTCGTGGGTCCAAATATAAAAAGCTAGGTTTGCACAAGCTTTCAATAAAAGATCCTGAAAAAGAAATGAATGAAATGTCCGTAAAAACAACTGCACAGGCATGCAATACACAGGATTGTGAATGAAAAGCCTAAGAACAATTGACAGACCTGCAAAGAATGACCATGCTGAAGTTCCAACTGAATATGATGAAGCAGAACATCCACCATTGTATAAATATTAGATGTTACTTCCTCAGGAGAAAACTCTCTCAAGACACGTGCCTGAAACCATACAAGGAAGAGATTAAGCAACAGTTTCCTAGGCAATACGTCGAGGTTCTAATAGCAATGGATAAACACTAATCATGGTTTTATTCATAATGCATTAAACTTACTAAGTTTACGCTGTTAATGTTTTCTGGGTGCCCTTGCATCAGGATCCATGCACCAGCACATAGATATTGTCGGTGTTGAGGAAAACTGTGACTGATATAGGTCATTACATATGTAGGATCAGCGGAAGGGGACAAAAGCTGGGTGCATTGGTTAATCACAGTGGTTTCGGCCTGCAAAAGAGGATCTTTCATCATTATGTATATCTAAGAAATATTCATGATGGACAATGTTCAAAACCAAGTCAACCAAGTCTGACAGTAGAAGTTAATAGTTTTAAGTACAGAAGATTCTAATCAATCCTGTAGGAAAACAAAATCATCTTTATGATAGGGGAAAAAAAAGTCATGGCATCTGAATTTTGACAGCAGGGAAAAAAAGATGTTACAGATGAACAAAACAGACACTACAAAATCAAAAAACTAAGGGAGCAACAACGAACCTGCTGCCATTCTTGAATTGCCAGGCCCCTTTTATCAATCCGTTGGATCAAAACATCACGTAGAAGAGAAGGGAAATAGCGTAGTGTTTTCTCTGACCATGTGTGATTACTATTGGCTAATATCTGCTCTAACATGGTTT